TGCTGACCATATGTTTTAGTGGACTCACCTAGCTGAAGGCGCTCGGTCAGCCATCCGCACCAGATCACGTGTGGTAACGCCGTGCTCAACATCAACCGCAATCGCTAGCCAGATTAGATCAGAGAATTCCGATATATTGGTCATCGCCAAATATACTCTTCCGATCTCCTCGACTCTGTCTTTTGATTTCTCTGGGCGGGAACGAAATATATTAGAAGGTGTTACTGGTAGAAGCGTTGTCAAACACTGAATACCTGTGACATCATCAGGATCTTTGCAAATTACCACGGAACTTGCCACTTACAGTGGAAAAAATAACGATCGTTGCTCGAGCATCTGTCTGCTACTAATGTTCTCGTACAATATGAGATTTTGCAACTCCAGTATATGTCTTTAAACATGAACCGTTTTTTAATTTGTCGATTGCAATCGTCCTGTGGCCATGTTGTAAAAATAAGGGCGAACACAAGAAACATTTGGGGTTAAACGACAGGTGCACAATAAAACGTGGATTAAAAAATTGGGGAGAAAAGTAGACATTTCAGGGATATTTATAATGCAGAGCGACAAAAAGTGGAAATTCCATACTATTTCCCCATGACAGGCGATGGAACAGACATTCTGGAATGTTTCCCCATAATTACCCCTTTATTTTTTAACTTAATTTCCTCTTTATTTGTTGCTTGGGTACCGGTATTAATTCTAAAAGAGCTACAGGACGGGTAAGTATGATAGTTGCTTGTATTTATTGAACTAATTTTCGTAAATAATTATTGCTTTGAGACAATTATGATAACTGGGTTAATATTTCCTAAAAGTTGAAGAGTAAACAGAGCATTTATGTACAAACGTTAGTAATCACATATGTTCAGGAAAATGCGCTCTTTGAACAATCAAACGTAAAATAAGTAATGAAGCAATAATTCCAATTGCTCTATAGATAAATCACTATGATAGTAGTCCTTGTAAAACTCTGGTCTACGTTATTAATACTGTGATGACAATGGACCTAATCCTAAAATTGTGGATTTGTCATGATGTGACTACCTAATCTATCAGACCTTACGTGTAAGTCACATCATTGCCTACACTAACTCGTCCTACTTCTGGGGAACACACTTATGCTGGAGATAGAACAATATAAATATATGAATAAAGGGGATAAATTACACAAGAATGACAACACCTGCAAGGCTGAGTCATGCTTTATGATTAATTGAATTAATTCCTCATGCCTTCTCGATTGTTAGGTTTTTCTCTGCATCACAATGTTGAATATTTTTTACTAGCTGTCTACTGTATAGTTTTGAGGATTGTGTGGTTAGTGCCCATTGCCACTACATACCTTTCTTGAACAATATACAGATAAAATTGGATCAAACCAGACCCGTGGTGACCACTTGGAGTCATTGCTGGTACAGCACACATACGATAGCCAGATGTTGATTCGGCAACACTTACAATCATAATAAAGTATCGTATATTTATTTTCATGCCACATTCTATGTGTAAACGTACCCATATTCAACATCCACCTGATTTTTTTTCGACTGGGAATATACTTCATCAACCAATTGATTGCTAATAACTTCACTTTAGGTGTTCAATAAATACTACATACTTCGTTTCCTTAATAATCTTCATTGGCCATGACCTGTGAATAAAGATTATATTAACGTTTTAATGTCCTTTCAGGTTACTCTGCATCACGTGAAATAGTCGCTCTGCATTGCCCCAACAAAATATGTGAATAATACTTCGCTTCACTTCATCTATTCTAAGCACTTTGAGGAATACTAGATAATTTTGTTATCAATAGGTCTGATTCCCTGCTCACTGACGTTAGAGCCTCAAAATCTCCTTTTTCATAAGTCAATATACATTTAAACAGATCGATAATCATTTCATACTATTGGAATAATAAAATGTACCGGTATATTTGCCAGAAATGTTCTACAGGCCTAGACCTTTAAGTTATTTGGTCCATAAAGCGTTGAAACATTTGTGCAGCGTTCCAAGTTCGAATGCGATATGAACAGACTCGAGAAACCTCGAAAGAGTAGTGACTATCGCCTTTCATACATCTGAGGCTACCATTATTTAACTATAAACCAGTGCTAGATAAATTTCAGAAGTAATGGTTTATTCATTTAGATTCAATGAAAAAACATGGGTCTTTAAGATATAGTATCTGTCAACCACACGAACGTCAAAATTTCAAAAATTCCATATACAGAGCAGAAGCCCTTGGGCTAACTGAGAAACGGATGAACTCCATTTGCATCACCCGCTCGAATTCAACTTGGGCCACAGTTAATTTGTCGGTTGGTATCCGTGAAGACGTTGTTGGTTAATCTTATGTTACAATATGAGGGGTTGTTGAGTGCACGAACTCATTATCTTGGTGAGTTACTTTTGTAATTTCCGGATATTTTTGGATAACAGCAGGAAAATCATCATTTGTCGGGTGCTTCTCTTGAAGTTGGGAATCTGGTAGTCTGAAAAGGCTTTAGCATGTAGCCGTCCACAAACTTTGGTATGCATTCTCCTTCCAGCATGAGCTCGCAAATCATATGAACCCAAAATTATCACAATTAAAATAGGATGGCGAATATTCGCTATATTAAACAACCCACTTCGATTATATCTAGTTCCGAGGACCGAACTAATGAACGTTTATGGACATTTTTCTGTTTTGTCTGCCCCACCCAGTAAATCTTTACTATTACTATTTATCGGCTTTCAAGCTTCCCTAACTGAAATCATACTGACTTCTACTTCTTTTTCAACTTGGAATTCGGATCCTGAAGTCCAGTGCCTAGAGTATTGACTAGTCACATTCGATGTCATTACTGTCTGATTTCCACACCTTCTTAACTGAGAAAGCCTTATGAAACTTATAAGTTGTGACACAAATTTCCGCTCGTTTTCTAGATCTGTGGTGCTACAAATCATTATTTTATGTATCTCTTGGTTTTTTGCAGGACCTTTTGCAGGGCAGTGCACGGCTATTTCTAGCGGAGATTTTAGGAATGGTTGTCTGTAATAATTAAGAACTTTCGTCTGGCTTACTGTCAGTAAACCAGAGAACCATGTACCTACTTATATTCGATAATTTTGTTGTTTGATTATATTTTCCTTGAAAAAGCTTGGACTATATTGCTAGACGAAACGTTGGATTTACTTCAAATTCTTTCGCTGAGATTTTACAAATACATTCTTCCTCTTTAATGGTTGTCTGTAATGTTAATGCTTTCACAATAATATTCCATATGACAACAGCACAATGAGAACGCAACTCTTCCAGTGGTAGAATTCTAAGAGTTCAGTGGAGCGTTTTGTGTGTCGATGGGTTTTCGAACGTACGGAGTACGACCATGTGTTACTTACAATATTTATCAACCATGACGGGTTCTCCAAGCCTAGTGGCTGATTGTGTGAACAAAGAGTTGTTCTTGTTGCCATTGATAGGCATCCCATCCATATTTCTTTTGGAAAAGCATAATCGATATTGTAAGTTACAGTAAGTTAATTCATCTGATGAAATAATTGAAACAGTGACCTGTGGCCTAATTTGTGTTCGTTGTGTAGTTGGTTCAATTTACTTCATCTGATGCCATGTCTCTTACTGCTGGCTTTCGATGGAATAGCTGTATTTATAACATAATTAAGACTGCTGGATATTACTAATCAAAAAGGTCTCATAATGGAAAACTTGTTTTCCTCCTGTTGCGACACTACAATTTACAGTTTCACTGTGAAAAGATGTTGAGATTGTACATGAATTTGAGATAGAACGGTCAACAAGAAATTTTTTAATGGAATTTATTCTTTGAATCCATCAGGCAGTTTGTTTTAATGCTCACAGCGTCCGCCAATTGTAAATTGGCGCTTTCGTTTCTGCGTCGAAGGTTAGTGCCAAGAGGTGGACAAGTTTGTGGTATGTTATCTATCTTAGTTCTATGTTGTATGATTGTTTTTAATGTCCTGACGCTTACTGATATAGCTGGGGTAACGTAGAAACTGTTTGAGGGAAATATGATAATGCACGTGGGTGCATTGTGTACGACCATTTAAGCTCTATAGCTGTGCTTCTGATGAAACTGATCGTCTCACTGAAAAAGTCAAAGTGGACAGCTTACGCCTACAAGGATTGTATCATTGATTGTACTGTAAGCTGTTTGTTGCGTGCAAACTGCAACTATATACTAGTAGCTAATGTCGACCATCATATGGGAGCTTAGTCGTCTAAAGTTTAATGATTTTGTCGCTTAGTAGTAATGTTATTCACTGAATGATCTTTATTCAAAGTGGAACTCCATTGTTCCTTCTGATTCAGGTTGAAATCCAGTTTCTAGTGTGTGAGTTGCTTCCAACTTAGTTTGATCTTGGATATCGATTTCGTTAAGTTAAGAAATCAACACGTGAATATTTGAGTGGATAATTTGGTGGGAATTTTTCCGAATACAGCAAATAATGTTAGTAAATTTGTGTCATTAAACGTTCCAAAACACTATACTCAGAAGCATCCTGCCTTTTCTAAATATAAAATTATAACGAAGTTAAAATGTTTGTGAGTACCGTTAATCGGTCCAATCACTATCCTTTAAACTCTCATAGCCTTGAATAGCAACTCAATTCGTTAATATGTTAGAATGAATCCTTTTCAAATTAAGCACTTCTCAAGTTAGATATATCCAGTTCTAAGTGAATCGAGCGATCTCTTATTTTGTATCTTCAAAATTTCTACAGGAAACAATTGAGTACTGTAACGCGGGTTTTGCGCAGGGCTTGTCTTAAGTATCGTCTTATCTGGATAAACATATTTGTATTTACTTATTTGAACACAAATATTGGTACAGAGAAGAATCGAATACATACGCGCCACACAAATCGTTTGATTTGTGTGTGGGCTGTGATACTGCCCAGGTGGCCAGACGGAAGCAGCTGGCTTTATTAGGGGCCCATGCCTGGAGCCCTCGATCTAAAGGTCTGATCTACAAAGCAGTGGAACAACGTTCAGTCCCATGGTAGCTGGTGAACAAATAATTGTTTCATACGCCATTTGTTCCCTTAAGATCCTGGAGCCCATGTAAACCATTGGTTTACAATCAGGGTCTCTCATCTCCATCAACCCATTTAAAGCGCCGGACATTCGCTTTTCATTCTCTCGATTTCGTAAAAAACTCCCACGCCGCGCGTAGGCAGTAAGTAGGACTTCAATGGTAGTGGCTGTATACGCGTGGCCATGTGATAGCATTTCGAGAGGAAGAGCAGACTCTCCCTACCCTTGGTTGTACCAGGGCATTTGGGGGCCATAACCATATAACCCCAAGTTTTTGCCACTAAGCTATCCCTTGTCGTTTATACTAATCATGCGGGTTTCTGAACATAGTTCATGGGTTATGGTAGAATTTTTAAAGTTCACTTCATATATTCAGTCTGAACTTGATGTCAGTATATGAAAGGAACGTTGGACTTTCTACTAAAGACGTAAAAACTGTGTCAAAATTATTCATGTGATTCTCATATGTAATAATAAAGTTTATGAACGAATCAGTCATAATTGGACGCAAAAATCATTTACTCGTGGCTAAAGATCACTCGTGCATCATAGCTAGTGTCGGTTTGTGATGAAAACCTTAATCATGATTAATTACTCGTCAGAACAATTTATCAGTCGTTTTTCTACTTATTGTTTCATAACCAAACAGTTGGCTAAAAAGTAGTGGTTCAAGGTCAGTGCTTCATCTGTCAAAGCTTTAATAACTGGTTGCTGTCATTAGCTCTCACATTCTGGTACATCGAAGTTCATACGAATAATAAACGAATCTATTTGTCCATTTAAGACAACATATTTATGTGTCGGCCAGATGTTGAACTAAATCACGAGTAGCATATTCTAGGTCAGTGCGAATAGGACCCACGTGTAAACATCCTTAATGTAATCATTTTGGATAGTAACCAACATCCTCACTGTCTTGTCGAATTTCACATGTAAGAAGGTTGTTCCTAAAACAAGTGATTATTTAGCAGATCAAGTTCTCGGAGTATGTAGTCCTATCAGGATATAGATCTGTGGATACCAAGTTATTTAGAAAATATAAGTGGGTATTCAGTTATTTTGAACGTACTTCGTTGATTTCTCACTTGTATTTAGCTCCCTCAAAAGTGTGATCAAAAATGTATTTGCTTTCTAATACAACTAGTGAAATTGAATTGCTTGAAAGATAGTTACATTTTGTTACTGAAATCAGCTTTATTCTAATCGCTAATAAAAGTTGCTTTTGCTGATGTCATAAAAATATTTAACTGGTTTTATTGTTACTCAGTGTATCTGATTGTACATGCTCTTAACTTCTGAATGAGACACTTCAGTTAAAAGATCCACAATACCTTAATAGGTCGTACTTGTTATTCTGGAAACGTGTTGTGACTAAGGTTTGTTAATCTTTACTAGCGTGGAAGTATCCATATTATCAACTAATAAAAATTGTAAATTATAATCTTTGGCTTTCAAATTAATTTGTTAACTTAGTTTTAATGTTATCAATACTTACGGAAAAATACTATACAATGTTATCAGTGTTTTATCCACTTGTATTAATACAGTATTCACGTTGAGACTAGGCTTATATTGGAAAAGTATTTCCAATTTTTATAGATCGGGAGTGTCAAGATATTGGATGAGCGTTTTAGCCGTTGAAATGAGTTAAATTGATCGTTAGGTAATACAAAATGTCACTGATAGCTCACTGAACTTAAATGAACTAATATCAGAAGACAGCTACCAACATACTACTTGTTTTTTCCAGTGAACTGACGTGGTTTGAATCAGTTGGTTTTCTTCTAGATGTAGAATGTTGCCTTATGGCTGTTTTGGGTCATTAATCAACTAAAGTTGTCAAGTGTGTCGACCATTTCAGTTTTCTCATCAGCTCTGGTGTGTTATCAGTATAGTAAAACTACATTCATTCAATTTTTTCTGAATTTCGGTAATTTTTGTTACGTGGAAGACATCGGTCTGGGTGTTTCTGATCAAATATACTTCACAGCATTCTACCTTGATGACTGCTTTCACGACTGTAAACCTATCAAAATACAAAAATATAATAATTGATCATTCATATCGCAAAACTGTGGGTTTGGTGGAACCATCGAGTAAGTAATGTAGGGTTTATAAGACTCGATTAGTGGGGCTATGTCCACCAGGAGGATTTATGCAACTCGTACTGGTGTCTGGCATAAGTTATGTTAGTCCATGAGGATATTATCTGTTGGCCTAGGCTTGGTGTAGAGATGTAGAATTCTTAATTACGCGCAATAGTCATGATTTAAAGTTAGGCACAAGTGAGGTTGTTTAAAGTTGGTCATAGTTGTGCTCACTTTTTGCATTCAACATTTTATTATCCCATGTAGTTTGTTCTTCAGATGGAATGACATTTCGTATGTTTAACTTTTACTTCATGGATTTTGCTGAGTTGATTTCTTCGGTCAGTGTTGGAATAGTGTATCAATCACTATCCATACACATTCATATGATTTCCTATTACGTGTGACAACTGATCTAACGTACTGTTCAATTGTTTGTAAATTGAGCTAATTACATCAAGTTTATAAAGTTCACTAGCCGGAAGTGGTTTGTGTTTCATACATTCTGGTTATACCATTCCTTATTTAGTTTATGATGATATATACCTATTTCCGACAACAGATCAGTATTATGAGACATTAAAAAGAATAATATATTTGTAAAATCTCAGCGAATGAATTTCAAGTAAATCCAACGTTTCGCCTGGCAATCTGGTCCGAGCTTTTTCAAGGAAAATATTTTCCTTGAAAAAGCTTGGACCAGATTGCCAGGCGAAACGTTGGATTTACTTGAAATTCATTCGCTGAGATTTTATAAATATATTATTTTTAATGTCTCAAATTAACTCGGCGCCCAAATATTGTGAAACTATTCGTTCAAATTTAGACGAAAGTTCTTATTTATTATTTTGCAGATCAGTATTATGTTTACTTTCTTTTCAGACATGCCTTTATCGAGCAAGGCTCGAGTGTATGCAGATGTAAATCTTAATCGTCCTCGCGAGTATTGGGATTATGAATCATATGAAGTAAAATGGGGGTAAATCACTACAGTATCGTAAATTACCATATTTCATGTTTAGTGATCAGGATGATTACCAAATTGTTCGAAAATTGGGCCGCGGCAAATACAGTGAAGTGTTCGAGGGTTTAAATATAACCAACAATGAGAAATGTGTCATAAAGGTGTTGAAGGTAAGTCATCTCAACGCATAATTGCTGCCTTAAGCCTGTCAAAAAAAAGAAAATCAAGCGTGAGATTAAGATCTTGGAAAATCTACGTGGCGTGACAAATGTAATATGCCTTGAAGCAGTGGTAAAGGATCCTATTGTAAGACAAAAATTCCTGATGTATAATTCTTTCAGTCTCGCACACCTGCCCTCATTTTCGAACACGTCGAAAATCGGGATTTCAAAGAGTTGTATCATACCTTAACAGATTACGACATTCGGTACTACATGTTCGAATTGTTACGTGCACTTGATGCATGTCACAGCATGGGAATTATGCATCGGGATGTGAAACCGCATAATGTTATGATTAATCATTCCCAAAGAAAGGTATTTTTCATCTATATTTTATTCAGTCTAGTTACGTTTAATTGACTGGGGTTTGGCAGAATTTTATCATCCTGGGCAAGAATATAATGTTCGTGTTGCATCACGATACTTTAAGGGACCCGAGCTATTGGTTGATTACCAGGTGAGTTTATGATTTTCTGTAACTAAACTATGAATTTGCAGATGTACGATTATTCTTTAGATCTTTGGTCTTTGGGGTGTGTTTTTGCTAGTATGATCTTCAGGAAAGAACCTTTCTTCCATGGTCACGATAATTATGATCAATTAGTTCGGATTGCCAAAGTTCTTGGTACAGAAGAGCTATTTCAGTATTTGACCAAATACGAAATAGTTCTGGATCCTCGATTTAATGAAATTTTAGGCCGACATACGAAAAAGAGATGGGAACGTTTTGTACATGCAGAGAACCAACATCTTGTCAGCCCAGAATCACTTGATCTTCTGGATAAATTATTGCGTTATGATCACGCTGAACGACTAACTGCTCGAGAAGCTATGGAACATGTGTATTTTCGTAAGTTTTGTTCTCATCATGATCTACTTTATAACTTGATGATTCTAGGTGCTATTGTGCAGGACCATGGTGGTCGAATCCCTGTTGGTGCTCAGCAGAATAATGATGGTACTAAAAAACCTGGTAAGCCTCATTTCCTTATATTTCTGTTGTTTAGGTTCGACCACGCCAAGTACGAATCCGACGTAATATCCGCTATTATTAAAGAACATTATTTTCATTAACGTTCCACTATGCGACTATGGATAATCTCCATTCTCCAATTGTTTGGATTTGTATAAAGCCCGGTTGTTTTACTGCATCCACCAATCATATAAAATTTTATAACTTAGTGAAGCGCTTTTGTTTATCAATGGGTCCGACTTTTGTGTATCTGTATCTTCTATGTTTAGAGGTATATTCCTTTTAAAATAGTGTTTCTTCATCGGTGACATGGTTCTCTACTTGTTTGATTCGGTTCCGAAGGTATTTTGCTGTTAGCTTAAAAATGAATACAGTCATGTTTTGCACTGCACATTGTCTGTTAAAAATTGCATTTTCACGACCAATTAGTAGATGACTATCAGTTTACCTCTTAAAATTGAATGAAGCTTGTTTGATTATAAAGTTGAAATCTTTATGCTTCTTATTGTATTTGGCTCACTTTCTTCAGATGACCTGTTCTATAGAATAAAATAATTCGTATGAGAAATGTGTGCATAAATTATGTGTTTGAGTTTTTATTCGATTACTTTCAGTTAATAAATTACATCAAGTGGAAAATTGAGCGTGACAATAGATTTTAGTGTTAAACAGAACAAATATAATTTATTTGGGTTCAGAGTTTATTCGAGACTAAGTGCAAAACATTACTGAAGTGAAATGAAGATAAGTTTATAGTTTTTGCTACAAATAAATGTGAAAATCCCTGTATTTATCGAGTTCGCAAATAATGATTGAATATTTTGATCTAAAAACTTACAGATTGATAATCTGATAATTTAGGTCAAATTCTACCAAATTATATTAATTTTTAGTTCATCTACAAATTGTTTAGTAAATAGTAGTCGTTCTTCTATTCAAATGATGAAGTAGTTCTCAGTTTGCCCTGTCTAATTTAACCTATACGAAACATAGGGTATACATAGGTTCTGAGCTCAAAATTGTGGGTATCTTTGAAGTAATACTTATGTTAGACACAGAAAAAGTAGTGAAATTGTTTGTTTATGAACTAGTAATCTTGATATGCTCATCCTCTTTTTCGCGTTGGTTTAGAATGGTAAGCTTTTAATGATACAGATTAGGACGACATCCATCCACTGAGTTGTTGACTATTATTCTGAGCAGTGTAAGGAGCTGCATGTTTCCTGAATCAGGATAGTATTTGAGTTTTGAATATTTCGTAAGTTATGGGGAATCCCATCGAGTCGAGTAGCAACTTACTGCAATTAAGTATCTTATTGAAGAATATTACACCCTGTAACGTCAGTCATATAACTGAAGTTAGGAAAAATTGAAGACTTAACATAATTACAAATGCAACGCAAGAGAAAGACTATGTCACATTATACTTGTAACTGCGCTACGCTGAATAGCCTTGTAACTACTTATGTTGCCAGACTTGTTCTGTCTAGAAAACTTACCCGTGTTCCGGTTAATGCTATCTTGTATTTCTGAAGATTCCAGTTTTAAATCTTTATCGTTACTGACATGATGTTTTTGTTAAGACATAGAGTAAACCGTTACCAGTTCTCAAGAACTGGATATTTTAATGACACCAGATCATATAGGTTTGGCGTTTAAAGCGATCACTACCCTTTTTCGCCAACAACGTCCATCCAATATAGTTCAGATTACGGACTAAGAGTATTTAATGGGGTTAAGTATTTTGGGTCTAAGTAATACTACTGTTGCCGGTGGATTCTATCACACTAGTAGCCAAAGGTAGTGACGTGAATTCGTATACCCTTCACAACTTTACTAATTTGCTTCAAAGAAGGTTGTGGTTAAATAGTCAAAAGTATGTTTTTTATGACCACATACCAACTATCCCCATTCCATGAGTATTCCTTCACAGGAACTAATAACTCGTAGCAAGTTGTTTGAGTATTCATAATGTTATATGGAGTATTAAGAGTTATTGGCTATCCTCCATCATGGAATCCCAAAAATGGGACTAGGCTTGTGAATAGCACTTATAAGTGTTTACTGAAATTGAGGGCAAAATAGATTTGCACGGAACTATTTATTTATTCAAACACAAATGTTGGCACAAAAGAGTACCGACATGTATGTGCCACGACGAGATTGCGAAGAGATAGATATGGGTTTGTGGAAGAGAGTTCATGGCGCGTGTTTGTCGAATCATGACCAGCGGCCAATGTTCACGAGGGGTAAGAGGCATATATATAGAAGTCCTCAAGTGAATGTCTCGGTATTGACCCCCACTACTAGCTGATCATATTTTTATTAATGACTAGTTTTCGGATATAAAACCCTCGTTCCGTACAGTTTTCAACACGTCAGTGTAGCTTAACCTCCCTTCGTTTTGAAGTTAGTGGTCTTGTACGTAATTTTTGAAACAAGAAAATGAATAATCTGGGCATTCAATTACTGATTGAAATATTTGCAATCAATCATTTAAAGTTACTCAATTACCCTAAACTTTGTTTTTAGTTCCCATGTACATCACTGTATAAAATGAAAAAGATGTACCCAGCATTATCAAATAGGTGGTTTGATAGTTGGCACTTATTTATACTCGGGATAATCTTAAAGGTTTATCTTGCGATTGTCTGTTGCAATCACTTCTCATGTTTAGTTGTCGTTATTTGTTTGGTTGATTAATATTCAGTTTCTAAAAGTGATATAAAGTGTTCGTTATTCGTGTGCACCAGTCAGTGTCGATACCTAAAGTTGATTTCTAAATATATTTATTCAAATGTGACTCTTAGTCCCATTGTTATTCTTTATCATTGACTAACTTTAGATTTAGTGATTCCGTATATATTGGGAACACTCAAAAGTACACCTTTGTTTATATAAATTTCTTCATCGCCTAGATTATTATGAAAACTAACTGTAATTATGGATCGTCTTTTAGTCATGAACCAGATATTGTACTGCTTTATTGCCACTTTTTGGCATAGCATAAAATCTGAGATGATGCTAGTCTTGTGTAAAACAAAATCGTAATTTCTTATTATTATAGAGAAAGGCATTTTATACATATTACGACAAATTAAATGTACAGTTTTTATCTTTTGTATGATTAACATTCTAAAATATGCATGCATAACCATTTTCTTGTATTTATTAATGGACACTTATTATTATTGTTTGCATAATACGCGTATTTTAATAATTTAAGATAATTTTTCAAAATACCCTAGTTACTGGTGATTATAATCCTGAAGTATTTACTTTATTGATCGTACAGATGAACTGGTATAAGGATACAACTAAACATATTTTTATTATCTGTTTTTTACATTGTTTCAGACAACATATTCCATTTTTCATTAACCGAAAAGACAACTTAAATAAGAGCATTTATTATTTCCAACTGTAATATAAATAATAATATTAAACTATGTACTTGCTTAAGGTGAAAAGAAGTCATTTGAGTGATGGAATTTATCATTAAGTACACCACTATGTATTATTAAAAAGGGATGGTATATGAGACGTGCTTTGAAATCAATTTTGTCAGCCATTTTCGAGCTCGGCTATTTGAAACCGAGTTGTTTGCATAAGTTAACTGTACTGTATGGTTGTTAATGTGCTTTATTTAATGACACATGCCATTATTCCTTTTGATAGAAGCAGCTATCTCTTCCTTATGTGTGGATTCGAAATAAGTCTGAATTGGTTTCACATGAAATATGTCTTTTGTACACTCATCAAAGTATTTAGTTGATATCTAATTTAATAAAATTTTCGATATATTAATTTGATTTAATAAACATACACTCACTATCCTTTATTTATGAAATATTTTGAAGTGCTGATCTAATTTTTATTTTTACATATTGACAAGTTAATTCAAAGGTCTAACGCTAAGTTTTAACAATTTCACCGAACCATTACTTGGACTTAAAATGAAAAATAGAATATGTTGTCTGAAATATTGTAAAAAAAAAACAGATAATAAAAATATGTTTAGTTGTATCATTATACCACTTCATCTGTTCAACATCCTACTACATCTCATTTATTTGGTGTTAAAATTGTACTATAGAGACTACCCAGAGTAAACCTATCAGAACTAAGATAGGTAATCGTAAATTTTCTGCGCGAAATTAAAATTGCAGTATCAGATAGACTGTATGTTATGATTAATTAAATAAGAACTTCCAATATTCGGTTCCTAGAATGTTTGAATTGGTTGAAATACCTACTATGCAAACAAATAGCGAATATAGAATACTGTTGAAACCAAATAATAAGAAATATAGGATCCCGATTCAGATTGTATGTGTTAGAGTAGTTGATGTGACTGGATTTTAAAACTAGATAGTATTTCCTCACTTTCACTCCTAATTCTAAATCTCAACCCTAAGTTTCTTAATTTTCTATGCCAAAGGATGACTAAACATCATTACATTATGGCTGATATCAGTTCGTGATGAGCACTGAATCCACACTGAATTCATAATCATAGTACATAAGTGTAGTTTAACTCTTATTATCTAACCCTGATCTTTTTACATTATAGCTGATGTTGATTACTGACGAAAATCCTATACGGTTATAACCCTAACTCACGACACTGCCTCAACCCTTGATGTGAATACATGACCTTTTCCATTTACGATAATAAGTATTTTAACTTGTAAGAGATGATTTATGTTATCAGATGAACTATTTCACAGTCATTGTTCTTTATTATAGACTATTTTGTAACCCGATTGGGTTCCTGATTGTTAGATAAGTTGATCATGGTCGTCAGCATGGTACACTTTTACCTACTACATTTGTAGTACACCTCTAGAGTGGGGCAGTAATCAATCTTCTTATGAATGTGTATAATAAATCTACAAATCTACACAACATCCCATTTCAATCCATCTGATTATTTTCATTCACATTACAATCATTCATAAATATCTCACGTGTAAATTTATTGTGGTATATATAAAGAACATACTGATGGATATCTCTGGGTTTTTAAACTTAACTATCCTAATGATAATTACTTCGCGTTGTACACTCAAAAAAGTAATACAGTCAAGGAAATAATATTAACAATATCACATCTGGAAATAATTCGCTAAATAAACTCATCTTCTTGTAAGGGTATTTAACAGACACCATAACTAATCCTCTAAGTTACCACTTAGGTGTTTAGTTGAAAGGAGAATTTATGTACGCTTATTTGACACTTTTAACATCTAGCCGAGCTTTGATCGACTCGTGAACTTAACTGTTAAAATATTAAAATCTCCACAAATCCCCATACTTTTAACATCATTGGAATTGTTGGTTGAAAATCTCATTAAGAATAGAAAGCTTCTCGAATTTTATTGACATAAATACTATTAAAACACCTGATGGCAAATTTAGTACACTATTGCTTCATATAGATTAGCTTTATGACTAAATTTCATTAGTTGACAGGTGGAATTTAATCAAACCTACAAAAAAAGGAATCTGCTTAATTATTATAGGCTGACTATTTCATGTGTTGATATTATATATATATATATATATATATATATATATATATATATATATATATATATATATATATATATAAATTAATAGTCATTTAAATTAATTTCGCTTCTGATTATGAATCTTCAATCTATTTGTTATATATTTTATTGATCCAGTTCAGTAAATAATCTTTCCTGTCATTCTT